AATTTAACAAAGAAATTTCTTATTTAGCTATTAAGTATCACACTTATCAAATATTTTTTACTGAGAAACTTTTAATTAACTGAGCGTTCAGTATTTTACTTAGCATTCAATTTTTAGCCATTAATATTTAAGAGAAAAAAGAAAAGCATATCAACATGCAATGTGGGGCAATATTTCGAATCTTAAGATGTTTTCAACAGTAAATAATATAGCTTTTTGTTCGAAAAGAAATTAGAAAAATAAAAACAAAAGACTTTACAGTTCAAATAGAATTGTAGTTCTTCCTTTCTTTTAGAAAAAAAATCATGAAGCAGAGAGACATGATGTCTTCCTGATGAAAAATGAATCAATATGCTCAACTTCCTGAAACCGACTGATCCAGTCCAACCGATTACAACTTTGCCTGCACTCACTCACACTTGTATCTCATACTCCAGTGCACTTTTTGTCACTTCTCTTTTTGTACCATAAATAGCAGTATCAAATGTTTATTCACTATATATATTGTGCCAAAGAGAGAATTAAAAGCTTCATGTTGAGTAAGTATAAAACGATCCATTAAAAGATTGGAAAAACGAAGAAAAGCAAAAGTAAACGATTTTCATCCAATCTACAGTGTATTTTTCGAGAAATATCATGTTGACTCATTTAATACAAATACAAAGAAAGTAAAAGAAAAATATGAGACAATAAAAAGGAACATCAGTGAGTATAAAAACATGATTCCATTTACTATATCTCTCTATCAGTTGTACATTACTGTTATACATAGCTATTGAAAGAAAAAAAAATCTGTTTCTTCCTTCTCGTCTCATGTTTTTGATTGCTGTCATCGGTATAACCAATGAAGCAATGAGTGTTGATGCTCTGGCACGATGCATTATGTCTGAAGCATCGATCAGCAACAAAGCTGAACAAGAGTGTGGGTGTGGATGATGGTGATCGTTCTGTTCACTCACACTCATACACCCTCAAGTTAGCTGAAAGTTAGTAACTATCCTAATGGTTCATTTCATTATGTATCAATATCGTCTATACTAGACACACGTCAATATAAACGACCGACTTTAACAAAATTGATAAGGAAAAATTTAATTTTCATTTTTTGAATTGGTAAACTTTACAGGACGTTGAACACTACAAATGATAGATCTAATTCTTTAGAAAAAATATGGGGCATGTTGATTGTATGGTTCTAAGAACAGTTTTCTAACCAACGATTATTACTTTTTCTTTCACTTATTGCTATCTGTTGTTTTTTCCATGGTACCAACGTGAGATAAGTAAAATAAATTCGTTTACTACCAACCGAAAAAGATGACTCTTTTTATCGACATAATACAAGACTCTTGGTCTTTTAGTATGTTGAGAGCTTTATTGGGCTTCGTTAGCTGCTTCAGAAGGTTGCTTGGTACGAAAACCGAATTATCATGGATCGACAGTATATAATGATAAGTTTCGAAGTGAAAATTGTTATCGATCTTAATTGTCATTAGGATAAAATATACTTTATGAATTCGATCAATTGATTCGAGATGATATTGCCGATCCACATCGATTTGTTGTTGGTGGTTGTCATACTGATTGGTTGATTATACTTCTAATTTCTACTTAGTTACTTGAAGGACATTCACGGAAGATCTTACATGCATACCAAAATAAAGCTCCTATATATCAGCTAGATAAAGTGCGTAGATCTACAAATATCAGTATTGTTGAAAACGATGTGTATGAAAAAATTAACACTCGAGAAGAATTCAAATGGCTACAGAAATATGGTAGTCAATCATCCTTTCAATATGAAAACCGACACTAAGTACCAATTCTTAGTTAAGCACAGTTGTTTATTACTTCATATAAAAGACTACGATAGCTTGAAAAATTTTGATTCTTATAATCGTCGGCTTGTGCTTCAAAATATATTTTATGATTTCATATACTTATGCAGACATGAAGATGTATTTTTCAATAAATACCCATTGAACTGACAAATTAACACAGCAGATTATTAACTAATTTAAATTCTTTAGCAGACTCAAGATATATAAATTGATTTTTTCTTCAAGCATGATGTTTCAGGCATGCCATCTATGCTTAATTGTTCTTAAAGGTTGTATTATGCTATTGTACATATTTTATTTTATTTAACTTAGTACTCGCGCAATTCATTATCTCTCTACTAAATAAGAATAAATTTTGATGTTCAGTGTAAGTAGATTTAGGTGTAACGAACATTATTTTTGATTTTCTTCATCTTGAATATGTAAAATATTTGACTGTACTTGATATTTCTCTAAATGATGTACTGTTAAAAAACTTTCGTTAACACCAATTATGTGATTGAAAAACGATTTAAATTAGTTGTCTCCTGCATTCTTTATTACAACATTCATTTAGCTGATAGGTAATTAATAGAAGAAGTGTTTCTCTCATCGAAATCAATGTTGTGTTTTCATATCTTGAAAAACTAAGTTTTGAGTAAACGAATCAGTCTAATAGCCAGCTGATAATATTGAAATAGTGATTATATATGTAATAGATATACTACTTTAACTTCATAAAATCCAAAGAAGCAAGTGATATATATAAATTTATTCCCATAGAAATAAACTAAAACTACAGAGCCATGTTTTGTTCGAAAATCATGTCTAAAAAAAAGAAATTTTACTATATATAACATGAATGCTTCATTGCCATTCAATATCAATCTTAAACTATCACTCGTATGAGTTTGATAAGATGTCATACACTTTGATTTCAACTTTCCTGCACTAAAGTCAATGACAACATCAATTTTATCATGTGTCTAATGTACAAGTTCGAGTCCATTCAATCATGGTCACAATACTTTTTTTACACATATAAAAACGTTTGAACCAATCAAGTAAAACCTTGTTAAATTTTAATCGAAACTAAGTATATCATAATTTGCATTAGGAATAAATCTATACTACTACATCTATTTGTTCATATTAAACAGACCATCTTTTATATATTCTTTCTTCTCACATGGGATCCACTAGCAGCATTGTGTAGGTTATTCCAGAAGTTATGCTATGGTAACAAAACGCTTGCACATCGGTTTTGAACCTAATACTCACTTCGCTATCGAGTAGAAAATATTACTCACTTATTGTTTGACTTCGAAATATTTTTACATTAGCATCTCAATCGAAATAGTCTTCGAACCATCAATGAAATTGAATAACACATAAAGTTATAAGATATCATAAAAAACTGTAATTGGTATTAATTTCAACATCATCGGATTATCCATATAACGAACTGTATTACTTTGATAATAATTCTGTAGAGCAAAAAGTTATTCATGAAGTAAATGTATAAAAAAAAATGTTAATGATTCAATCTTTCACCATTTAGTTTTTATGCATGTATCCTCCCGAAAATCAAATCTTCAATCCATTTATTTTTGTGCAACGATATTGAATACATAGACCATATAAGTTACTCTCAGATATGTTTGATGTCGTTTCCAACTGAATGTTGGAATTGATATATTGACAAAATCATCTTATGATGTCAATTAGTACTGAAATAAAACTGATATGTATATATATTGATATCTTTTTTTATTGTATGCAAAGATGTATTGTTTTCTTATTTGATATCAATTCAGCATTATATTTGATCCTAAATACAGAATAATAGGACCATCGAGTTTTTCTAAAAAAAGTTTCCGACAAAATATATTCTAAGAAGTTTAATGTGTACAAAGAGCGTTAACCCATTGCTCTTCATAGTGATTTCAGAAGAACCACTGATAAAATAACTTTATAAATAGATTATTAATCTGTCTAATGTGTAAGGGCGTTTTATTAGCCCAGTGACCGTGAGATTGAGAAAACGAGTTGAATGACATACTAAGACTTGACTTTTCTTTTCTTTGATCGTAGTATTAAGTAGATGAAAGTAACATCAATCATGTTATTCGAGTGATAGAAAAAACAAGGAAGCAATGAACCGATTAAAAACTAATGTCAAAAGAATATTTATGTTTTTGACACGTCTTCATAAATAAATATCGACTTTGGTCGGAGTCATTTTATAACCTCTGAAGACATTTAACTCATAATAAATACTATTTCAACTTTTCATGAGTTCAGGTTTATAATGCATATGTATATTCATTATGTTCTTGATTACCGTTCAGCTACTCAATAATGACTACATGGTCAAGTGTATGCAGTAGTATGTGTAATTCACAGATTCGTTCATTGATTTATATCATACAGAAATTCCGAGAGATCTCTACTGACTGTAGGTAGGGAAAATTTTGTATAGGCTCAATATTTTAAAGGTAAAGCGATGAAAAAATGTGCTTTTATCATTTTCAAATCCTACGCTTTCTTTATTTACTGCAATCCTTCCACAAATAGTCATGCCAGCAACTAACGGAGGTGAAGGTAAATATAAAAAACTAAAAAATGTTTTCCTAAATATTATAATAATACTGAAGACAAAATATTGATATATTTAACTTGATATCTATTTCGTAACAGACTAATTAACAGCAATATTTTATATATTATCACGCATTGGATTTCAAGATTAATTGTAACCTATAGAGCAATTTTTTTTTTCACTTTAGCTGAAAATAGAGCTAAAGAGGATTTAAAATAATACACATGACAAGTGAGACCTTGAACCAAAATAATAATCCAATAAAATCACTATTATACTCTGCTTTTAAAATAATCAAAAAACAAATTATTTCAAGATTTTTTATTTGATAAAAAGGAATTTCTTTTACATAAAATAATTTAATTTCAAGGTAAATCCTACTTTGACCGAAAGATAAAAATGTCGAAAACAAAAATGAAGGATGAAGATATAGATGTAAGAGTAAAGAGGATGGGAAAGAAATTTCTCCTTCAATACTCTATCATTTTCAACATTTGTACCTTTCAACGTTTGTATAAGTTTTGTTTTCGATATTTTTATTTTCAATCAAAGTTGTGAGAATCAGTTTCAAACTATGGTTAAGTAGCTCGTCGTTTGCCTCGCATAGCATAGAATGATGATCGACGATTAGGAAATGGTTGCAATAAATCTTGAATAAAAGTATTCATCTCTTCATCATTTAAATTTGCTTGTTCTAATAAATCATATAAATGATTTTTCGTCGTTTTTGTTGTTAGTCTTTTTTCAAATAATGTTGCTTCAATTGTATCATCATTATTATTATTACAATTGACAATAGTAAATAATAATAAAAGAATAAAGCCAATAATTAATAGAAATAAATGAGGACAAAAAGTTTTAATCATATTTTTATGCTGAAATAAATAAAACAAAGCTGGAGAATTCTTTTTATATCAAATAAAATATTACCTTGATTTTTCTATCTCGTGCTTTCTATTTCTTTTTCTCTTTTTTTACTTTAATGAAAAAAATAGCTACTACTGTGATGTTGGATAAAAAGATTGAGTTGTTTCAATGATGATGAATTTATGTGTCTTAAGACTAGTTCTAGCTCTGTCGACTCATATTGCTTGAAGGCTCTCTATATTAATGATAGTTTCTGTTGGTTGAACATACACGCACCATCAAAGTAATCTATCTCTCCCTCTCTTATACCCCTTTTTCAATTAACTAGTTAACAACATAGCATGCAGTCAGCTATTCGCCCACTCAGATGAAAGAGTGAGGAATATTTTCTCTAAAATAGGTTTTCTCTCTCTCTCTCTCTCTTCTGTTTTCATAACTCTTCTCAAAAAATAAAAATTAGTCATGAAAAAAAAAACATTTTATTATTTTTTTCATCAAATAAAATCCAATGAGTTTAAGTAACATAATCTAGTTTGTCTTTTTAAATATTGAATTTTTAAAAATGAATCAAATCAAAATGTATATATATATATAATTTCTTATTTTTTCAGTTTATATTCGACTGATTTTAATCACGCGATGTTCATTGTAAGAAGTAAAAGATCAAAAAGTTCATATCTTACTTAAAACAAATAGTGTATCAACTATTATTACTAGATATGATCATAGACTAAGATAAAGAAATTTAATTCTAGAAAACTATTTAAATTTATTATACAAATTACAATAAATCATCCATGAATTTTCATGACATTTCCCTTCTAGTAATTTTTGATAAAGAATATGAGCATGATGTTCTGCAAGAATTAGTTTCATTGCTTTTACAAAGATTTGAAAAGACAGGATAGAATTGCATGTTTAATTGGCTTTGCTATTTGTTTGCTTATCTGTGACTGACAAATTAATCATAACAGATAAAACATTTTGATTCGAAATTTTAATAATGATAATAAATTTATAGTAAAAAAAAATTTCTTCATCAGTTATGACTTCTGTTATGAATTGATAAAGTCATTTAAGAAAAAACATTTTTGATTCAGAGATTATCCACTGATGCATATATTACATATCTTTCCTACACACTTCCGTTCACTGGTTAATAATGATAATAACATATAGAGATGTTATGTTAGAAATTTTATGAGTAGATCAAACAACTATCTGAATAACAGAAAAATTATACTGTATTACTGCAAAAAATAATTAAATTTGTGTGGTCATTTGGAATTCTAGAAGTTAAACTAAAGAATGATTGGTAACATCGATAAAAGAATCGAGCACCTTCTCATAGTTTGTATCATAATTCAACTACAACCGCTAGTTTTTGTAATTTGGCTGAACCTATATTTTACTTGACTTTTCTTTTAATATTGTTCTACTGCTTTAATAGAGCAGTAGGGAAGTAAATTAAACTCTAAATGTTTTATTTTAAGGGAGGAAAGAGTTAAAATCAGTTTTTTCCCCTTGAAAAAATCTATTTATTTACAGATTTCTACGCTTATTATATAATATCAAGAGAGTGAAACGTAAATACGAAAGTACATCATCTAATTTTCTTCGAAGAATATTCATACTACCTCGGAAAGCATCATTTATAAATTGCCTCCCCTGGCTAAGACTCTGGATATGTCACTGACACGTGACGTTTAGACGTCAAAAGAAATCTCTCATAGTATAAATTTATCTTTACAAAAAAGACCTCCTTAGCATAAACTACGTTCTGAATAAAAATGGAAGAATAAAGAAAATGCTACATTGAATAACGTGTATTTTCTTTTCTACTTTTGTTTTTTGTAATTTCCGCTTGAAATCTCGGCACTTATCTATATTTTCTTTTTTGAACATAATCTTTAAAGATTGAGAGATTTTCATTGAAATAATAAGTGTTTCTGAGGATTTTGTTGAGTTTTTGCATAACATATACCAATATTTCGTCAGTTAATAGTTTTCCAATAATTGAATTAGAGAAGAATGTTGTTTGATCAAGAGTAAAAACTTTGTGTTCATATTTGAATGTATTTTTAAACATGCTGAAATATCCATGCAAACTAATCATTGACGTGAGACATTAACAAGTTGTCAGAAGATAAGGACAAGTGAAGTTTTTGAGAATTGATCGAGCTTTTTTCTCAGTGTATATTAGTGCTTCAATTGAGCCATTCTTTTTGAAAGCATCAAGTGTGATCATCAATATTCGCATGATATGAAGATTATTATTATCCTATTTATTTTTTTGAATATTTAAATTTTCTTAACAGAACTCTAAATCTTTCTTAATCGCCTTAATGATATTGAAATCATCTTTATATTCATATACTTTCTATAAATATTATCAATTATCATTGCTTTTTTTACAAATAATTATTGATAGATAGTTTTCCGACAAAAGTAAATACCTATTGATAAAAGTCGAATGATGGTTATTTTGCAAGAGATTCAAAAACTATCTCATAATTCTTCAATACCTAATCGAAGTGACTTCTTGCAGAATCTGTCCTTTCAATATTAATATAGATATTTTCGATAGCAAGATAAACCGATGAAAATGAATCAAGTAACATGTTAAAATATTTTCAGTTTGATCGAAGTGATTTCATTTATTCACGATTACCCAAGAATGTTCTATCTTATATTTAGATGACAAGAGATGTTCTTCTATTTTTTTTTATCACTATACTTCAATAGTATTAAATAACAGTTTTCATTTATTGCAAGTATCAAATAAAACTTGATAGAGTGAATTTTGAAGAGAATTTGCGTATTAAATAAAGCATCGATGCAACTTTTGTTCTGTAGATAAGCGAAATTGACTTTTTCCAACGATGAATCAATCTTAATTTCATTGACATTAAACAACAAGGTATTTGAGAATATTTATTTTTATTTGTTCAATATTTATAAACGAACTGCTGAAAGATGTAAGCCTTTGTATAATTTTATCATAAATTTTTCTCTCTTTTCTAAATGGAAAATAGGGAATTTATTCTTTCATGCAAAAAATCTAATGTTAGACTGACTTCAATTTAAAATATAGAGGATTATATGATTTCTTTTTGAATATTGACTTGTTCAACACATTTTCAGATATTTAGCTCCAAAAAAGCTGCGTTCATAACCTTTTTTTGAACGATTTGTATAGAAAATCATAAAATTTCTCGTTCTATATTTCATTGCAAACTCAACAACACCAGAGGATATTGATTAAGCATGATAGATCGTATTTTTATAATGAAAAGATGAAATATTTATCTAATTTATGTGCACTTGGCACGTAGAATAGAACTTAGACAGAAATCGTTTTTGGTTAGGTGCAAAACTACGAAGTAATGCTCTTTTATTTAAAAATACATTGTAATTTTCGTTTACATTGATAAAAACATAGTTCACAGGTATGTGATATATGTTGTTAATGCAAATGAAAAAACGAATTTATTTTTATATAAAAGGCTAACTAGAAAAATTCATCAAATTTTACCAAGTGAAAAATACGAAGCAACACGTTTTCTTTTTAAAAAAAAAGACATACAACAGAAAGCTGATGTAGTGAAAGAAAAAATGTCCAATCATTCCGTCTACATGAGAAGATAGGACAGATCGGACACGTTTATCTTTTAATCTTTCGGTTCTTCTTGAAAGATCAACAGATGCAGTTGTGATAATTGAAAAGAAATCGTTCTCTTGAAAGTAGAAGGTTGGAGGTGGATCTAAAGTATTCAGTTCGTTTTGCTTATCATCCGCAACATTTGCCAAAATAAAACAAGCAGATACAACAGGAAAACAGAGTGATAAAGACGCCAATGACTATCCCACCAATAACTCCGCCTGAGACACTTGACGAATCAGAACTACTATCACTTGACGATTTTTCGTTGATTTGCTTCGATTCTGAACGATGAACTGATGTGATTGTATACGGAAGTTCTGACTCGTTCGCTTGTGTTATTGTTGGTACAATCGATGATGCATTTTGATCGATGATCCCAATGTGAAGAGGTAATACTGAGGATAATTTTGACACATCATTTGCCTGTTGTGTTGGTAGCGAATATTCGACTGTAACAGAGAGCGAGCTCTGTTCTTTCTTGATATTCATAGCTGTAAGATAAATCAGTCATTTCTTCTTTCAATCACCAAACGTTTTCGAACTTACCGCTAACACAAAGCAGTATGAAGAAACCAAGGAGCACGCGCATTGCAAGCATATTTGATGATTCTGATAGGTTAGATTGTATGTGCAATGATTTCTCATTTCACTTCATTTATCTTTATATATTGAGCTATAAGTAACATTTTCCAACTATTTAAGTATTTTTTGTTTACAACATAATCCAGAAATATGAGTGAATTTCCTACTTTCGATCATGTTGGAAAAAAATGATACATTCTTGGTATACAATTAGAAAGAAAAAGAAATTGACTGAATGTTAACATGAACCGATTCTATGAAAAAAAAGAATAATCCTTTTTTATTTTTATTTCTTATAAAAGACTCATTCTTCGGCGAACTCTTAAATATGGTGAATTGGGAAGCCATGATGTAATACGGCTATAGCATTTGTTTATTTACTAACGGGTTGTCATGAGTTACTCTTTTCAGTCATTCATATTGATCGTTAATTGTTTCTTTTATGAAACAAGATATTAAAGATGTATTGAAATGCATAATATGAGAGTGTACGTGTTGATGTGAGTTTGGGCGTGTGAGATCTCAGTATGAAGTAAGAGTATCTCGTTTGAATGCTAGTATTTTCAAACGGATTAGATCGACTCTTTAAAAATTTTAAGTTAGCTAACAAAGCACATGCAAAAAATCTTGTGGTTAATATATCAATTTCTTAATAGAATCAACTGCTATTTTACTCTGGCATGATCAATATATACTAATATAATAATGAAGAAAGAAATCTTGGAAAAATTTTCATCTAATAAGTCACATCAA